GATAAGTGTCTTTTTAACATATTACTGAAACAGACTGGGCGTTTCTCCCCATTTCACTATAGTTAACAGTTAATCCTAACCCTCAGGTATTAAGGTTCCTAATTCCTTCCCCTAAGCATTTTTTTTTATGATATTTTCCTCATGCTTCTCCTGCCTCTGTCCTTTGTACCTTTTATTATTGCTTCTGCTTTTTTCACTGTCTTTGTGTTGCTGTGGCCTTTTCCCTGTTGAAGGAAACATGACTGCCCTGCTTGCAGGGGTAGGTGGCACAGAGAGGTGACCCTTGTGAGCAAGGTGAGTTTCTTGCATTCGTAACCTCTTCAGCTGTGAACCTGGACCCCTCCACGGCTGTGCGGGAAGTGGAAATCTCGAGCAAGGGGCTTGTTCCTCTCCCGAGGATGGCATTAAACGTGTGTGAGCGGGACTGGGGTCGGCTGCTGAAGTCTCGCAGCTTTCCTCGCTCCTATTCCTACTTCCCGTGTTTTCCTGGGTAGCACAGCCCGAACCTGTGAGGTGCTGATGGTTTCTGTTTGTTCCTAAGTGAAGTGGTAGTGTGTAGTAGGCAACCACAATGTGGTAGGTAACCACATTCGGTCTTAAAGCATCAGTCCATGTAATGGGGCTATGTCCCATTCTGTCCCTCACCAAACCACATTTTGTTCTCTGTGTGTGTGTGTGATCTAGTAAATATTAAATTGCTTGGAAGCAGTTGAGCTTCTCTCTGGCTGCAGGAGTGTTTTCATGTAGACTGAGCTGTGACCAAGCTGACTGTGCTCCTGCCCACTAAATGCTGGTGTTTCCCTGGGAGCTGTGACTCACTCAGGCTGTGGTGGCCTCCTGTCTCCCTGTGTCCCCCTACGCAGGGAGACAGCTTTGGGAAGGGCTAGAAGCACCACTTTGATGGCATACGACAAACTGATCAGGCTGACAGGGTGGTCTAGGATTAATGTGTATTTTAATTTTAGTTCTTGTACAAATTCATGTAAAGGTGTAAGAAACAGTGACTTTGCAAAACTAAAGCCAAAGTAGATGAGTATATGCTGATAATTGGTTTGCTATCAACCCTCCCTTGCCCTTCCCACCCCATAAAATACAAAACACCTGAGGGCAGGTAGAAGGTAAAGTTAACGTCTTTTTTCACATCACCAGGATGGCTAACATCAATCTAAGAAGTTTAGGATTTTAGGCGCTTTTACCATGATAAAATGCGGGAAGAAATGAGGGTAGAGATGTAGCCTCTGTGCTGTGTGAGGTGCAACTGCTGGGGCCACACTGAAGTTTTACGCAGCGACAAAATGACCTCACCTGTCTCCTCAATACACTGTCCCACCGCCTCCCACTTTCCTGGCTGCTTCTGGTGGCTGCTGCACAGGAAGCCAATGATTCTAGAAAAGCATCACTGCTGCCTCCAAAGGCTCTTTCTTGAAGTGTGAGCCTCAATTCACTGCCTCCTGCCTGCATTCACTGTCTCTCACCAGTTCCAGGGAAGGAGTGATGGCTACGTTCCAACAAAGGCTGGCAGTCCCATGAGAACAAGCCTCATGGATCCTACGTGTGACACGGTCTCCAAACTGCTGCAAGCGGAAAGGATTCTTGCTCCCTGCCACAAGCCACTTCCACCATTAAAGCAAAAATAATTAAATAGAAAGTTCTTTGAATTGAATCTTCTACTAAACTAGGCAACAAGGGACCTTTCTGTACTCCTAAGACTTAAAATCATTGTTCTTGTCTGTCTTTCTACTTAAAGCTACTTGAATCCAAGTAGTTTTAATATGCAGGCTGACAGGGTACAGAGCTCAGCTGTGGACAAGTAGAGCTTTAGCTTGGAAAGATTTATGTGCCTGAAAGCAGAGAGAGAAAGGATCAGTGTGAGCAAGGAGAGGCTGCAGAGTGGGTCAATGGGCACAAATGCTTGCGGAACTGCGCGCTCAGTGTCACTGGGGCTAAGGACACAAAGCTAACGGCAGAAGGAAGTCAGGTGAATTGAAACAGCCTTTCAAAAGACACAGTAACCTGTCAAAATGACAGAAACAAAAACAAAATACACATAAGAATGTAGAAAACAAGTCTAAGACTCCATAAAATACAACGTTTTTCCTTAACTGTTTATTTATATCCTTTTAGACTTAACAGAGCAGTAGTCACCTATTCCCATTATTTGAACTCCAAAGACCATTGAAAAAATAACCTAGGTAGCCTTTATTGATGTCTAGAAAAAGCTCCTTTTTTCCTTTATCTATGAAAAATGAAAATAGAAGTATAAATTGCTAAGTCTGTTCCATTAGAAGAGACTAACTTTTTTCCTATGAGAAAGCAATCAAAAACTGTATTTTTCTAGAAATTTTAAGCTTCCCGAGCTGTTGACTTGAAAGCAGGGAACTAATAATACAAAATCCATTTACCCATCTGGCTTTTGGAAAAGACCTGCATCTGCATATCTTATGAAAAACATAAAGGTTAAATGGTTTTCAGTAAGCAAGAGAAATGGTTTCAAAGGTATGTGGGCCTGTTCAGAAAAGCTTTTTCATAGCCCAGTCTGAGAAAAATCTTTGAAGCAGGTAGCTGGTATCTTTCTCATGTAATATAGTAAAGCTCTTGCAAGAGAACAGGGAGCGGCAGAACTAGGCAATGATAAATACGAAGATTTACTAAAAAGCACATGAAGCTGCACTAGTTCTGAAAGCAGTGGTCTGTAAGAGAAGTTCACACAGCTAAACTAAAAACTTTGGCTCCAAATCCTCACGATAATGCGAGGAACTGCAGACCCCATTTCAAAGTGGGCCCTATTTGAAACAACAGAGCTTGCAAAATTCACACACAGCTCAACTTTTCACTGCTCGCCAGACTACACTGTGGCAGAGGGAACACGAGGGAAGGAAAGGCTGTTTCCCTGCCTTTGGCACCTGGAATTCCCAAGCATTGGAGAAAACGGAGTATTGGACTGTAGTGGAGCTGCAGCAGCCGCATTATGGGAAGCGAGGCAGAGGCCACTGAGTTCCTTAACGAGCCTGGATTTGTTATGTCCGCTTAGTCAACTATATATATCGAGTTTACATTTCTGCTTTTATACTTCTTCATTAGAAAGGTCCAATTTTGGGGAATGCCAATATTTTCCTGTTTTCATTTGCTTAATTTGTTTTATGACTTTTAGAAACTGTAACTAACTTCCTTGCTGACAGTGAGTTACAGAGAGGCCCATCTGCTTATTCTGCATCACAGGAGGAGCTTATTCTGAAGCCAAGTAATGCTTCTGATGAAAACCCTTTGAGAAAAGGGCTAGCACATGGCTGTTGAAGAGGTTTTCTCAGAAGCAGAGGATTTAATGACTGTTTCAGCACGTGTCAGCCTTTTACCTGACCTAGCATTGTTAATTTGTCCCACAGCGGGAGAGTAGAGCGTGATCCTTGAGGAGCCAGACAGCTTGAGACGCTTGCTAGAAACTTGTTTTTGTCCCTGGGTCATGAGCGTGGGGCTAATGTCTTCTTTCCTTATAGCTGGAAAGTGATTCACGTGGTAGCAGCTACTCTCAACTGGACTGCACTACTGTAATACACGTAAACAACACTGGAAGATTAATACCATAAAGCAATTTATGTACAAAAGATGTGTGCATTCTTGCCTTTCATCTTTAAGATTGTTTCAGACATGGCATGTAAAGTTTGAGAAAAGTTTTGATTGTTGGCATATTAATATATTAAAAGATGTAAAATCAGGAGTCACTAAGTACATAAAAACACAACGCCCAGTTTTGAGTTAGATTCCTTAATCAACTTTGAATTGGTTACATGGATTAGCAAATGTTCATTTCAAGCACTCAGCTAACTTCATCTCATTAAGAAAGCATTTAAAAATAGCACTCAAATAGTGTTGAATAAATTGACAATTTAAATATTCTTCCACCATCCAGAATAGACTTTTTTTTTTTTTCTAAAACTCCTGAGTCCTTCCCCAAGAACCACACTATAAGGGAGAAAATGAAAATAGTTCTTATCAAATGAAAAAAATATCCATTTTCAAGTGATCAGAATTGTTTTTATAAAAGCTGCTTTTTTCACGTGAGCGCCCAGCCTGGTCTGAAGGGGCAGGAACAGTGAGCGCTGTGATCCAGGCATGGGATGCTGCCTGCTGCCGGGGGAGCTCCACAGCTCCCCTGGTGGCTCGGATAAATCCACGCCTCCTCCTGAAGGAAATCTTAAAATACTTGTTATTTGCTAAGTTCCTATAATGGAGTCTTTTATGATGTCCCACTCTATCACTGGATAACAGAGTGTGGGCTTGAGCGAGGAACGCTCCCAAAGGAAAGGACAAACACACTTGCCTAAAAGCATCCTTACGTGATCTTATTTGCCTCCACAGGCAGTAAATTATGTAAATAAACAAATAACACAGCCAGAGCATAGAATTCGAGTGGAAGGGAACTACCCTAAGCAAATCATGTCAAATAGTGTCCAAAATATGGACCAATGTGTCTAACATCTACCTTACCTTGAAAAAAAGAATAAAATGCATCCGGATCTCTTCTGTTGCTAGACCTAATGTGTGACCAGTCCTAACTGCTTGGTACTAGCCTAATCTTAAGATTTCAAGTGACCCAATTCTGCTTGTAGAGTTTTAACTGAAATTGGCTATGCACAGCAATTGGCCTACTTGCCTCAGTTGTTGCTTCACAACAAAACAGCATCACAACACATTTCAATAATATTCAGTAAGACATCCAGATAATAAAACTTGAAGAAAACCTTTAAATATTTATCATAAATGTGTGTATAATAGCATTTCAAATATGGCAACAGAACAATGATATAAATTATCATCAAACATCAACAAAAATGCAATCCAAAGAACATATGAATGAATAATGATGTTTTCATGTGCATAAAATTTCCAGATGCAGGAGATATGTTTGGAAACGCATGCATACACAAGGAGAAATCATATTTCTTCTTTTTAGCCAGTAACTGTATGCTTGACTAAAAATGTTTATATGATTTCCTTGGCCGGTGCAGACAGGACACAGAGCTGACTCGACATGCCAAGAGAAGACATCCTGTTCTGTATCAGACAACCCCAGGTGCTGCAGCAGGGCCCCAAGAAAGCCCTGGGGTCACAGGCCTGGGTAAAGCTCCAAATCACAATTCTGTGTCTCTACAGTTAACATTTCTTTCACCAGTGAACTTTCTGTCGTATCTTTTCTAAAGACAACAATTGATATGAGAAACTATGAGTAGAACTGGGAAATAACAAAAATTGAAAATGAAATAATGTACAATCTTAAAATAGTTATCAGATTTCCTAAGGAGTCAAAACTGAAGGAGGAAATTTATCAGGTAAATACAATTAAGTCCCAATTAGAACCTACATGAAACCACATTACTGTAGTAGTTCTTACACTGTTATAGCAAGAAAAGGTTTTAGATCAATATAATTTGAAAACAAAATTATCTTGACTGTGCCAAAATTGCAAAATAAGAAGAACTATGAGAGAGCTCTTTCTTCATTTGCCAAAAAAAAAAAAAAAAAAAAAAAAAAAAAAAAAAAAAATAAAAAAAAAAAAAAAAAAAAAAAAAAAAAAAAAAAAAAAAAAAAAAAAAAGAATGGGTATGTGTTACTCTTTCCCTTTCTAGTTCTGGCTTTTTTTATAGCAATCCTGTGTCTCAGTTTGAATTTCTTAAACACAATCTTTTTATGTTGCATTTGGCCCCAAATCAGTGAATTAAAATACAATACAATAGCATAAATATGCATTTTTCAAGAACTTTTGGAAAAGTAGGATTATACTGAATGAGATTAATACAGAGGATTTCATACATTACATAAAGCACGAAAGACATGAAGTATACCATATAGTATATTGTAGTAGCCATAATATTGTATACATTACAACTTAAATTAATCATTCAATTCATCACCAGTTTTCTTCAGTATAGAATACAAACAGGGATGTCAGATTTTGCTATGATGCTTTGAATATTTTTTAATTTTCTGTGCAATATAATCTGACTAATACAATATTATTTCTATAAATTAGTACTTCTGCAGTAATACAATTTCTATTGCAGAACCTCTTGTTACTTGGGTGAGTATTTAATACTTTATTATAATGAGCTGAATCTTCTGTTTGAATTCTCTTCATTTAAAAGAAAAAAACCATTTCACAAGTGGCCTGCTCTTAAGTGGCCTTTCTGAGGTCGGTTGTACATCAATGTGCTGTAACTATCCAGCTTTAACAAAGGGTTTTACTTTCAGAGTTGCGTAAAAATATTCCAACCCAATACACCGAGCATGGCAATTTAACGTTGTTCTTGACTAGAATAATTTCATATTTGAAATTGTTCTCTAAGAAGTCAATACAACAAAGCCCTTCGAGTCAAGGGATTTCATCTGGCATTGAACTGACACTGAAAGAGACTGAACGGGTACTTCTCAGAAGTATACACTACTACGGGTTACTTTAATTATAAATCCATTACAGATTTACACTAGAAATCATTAAATAAAAAAAAAAAAAAAAAAAAAGTTTATTGTTTTACAATTATGTGTTAATACACTGAGTTTCTGCTTCATTAAACCTTCATTAATTAAACCTTTCTCATAATACCAGAAACTGCACAGAGGAATGAAATTGTTCCTTTTGAAATGAATAACTAGCCGCCCCTGACTTAAGATACATCAGAACTTAATTTGTTGTCTGTCTAGATTATATTAGTTAGCTCGTTTTCTTCTGTCTTGGTATTCTATTAATAGGCATCATAGAATGTAATAAATCTATTGTAGTTAGAAGACTTCAATGTAAATTATTATATACATTTTAATTGCACTTTCTGTACTATTACAATTCTATAAAATGTTAATTTTATTACTTTTCTGGAATTAAAATGAGTATCATGCAATAAAAAAATGTGAAGGCCCTAGTTATTTATCTGATTCTTTAAGTTTACAGCGTTAGGGTGACGGGGGGAGCAAGAACTTACCTAGTTGGTACTTTGGGTAATAAGTTGTCATTTGTCCACTACTGCAAGATTGTCTCTTATGCTTTTTCTTTATATTTGTATCTGTTGTCTCCCATTGTGGACTTTTTCTTTTGTTTATTCTGATAAGAACATCAGAATTACCAGCGGGATTATCATCATGGATTACCCCACAAGTTAATTTTCTGCTGTTAAACTGGTCATCCAGCCTTTCAGTCACTTTGGAAGAGTTAGGTCCTTTAGATGTTACCATTTCATTTTCTTGTTTCTTTAATGCATTTTGCTTAGTGGAATGGGACCTTAAGAGAGGATGCCTTTTTTCTTCCATATAGGCCTGATTGCTCTTACTTTCAACAACTTCAGGAGAATAAATGATATTATCTATATTAAATGAATTGTGCTGCTCAATATGGTTGATTTTTCTCAGAAATATTCTACAATCTCTAAAGGTTTTGGCTTTCCATGCACTTTGAAAGAGTTTATCTTGGCTTTGTTCTTTTCTAATACTTTGTTGGCTACAAATTGTTCCATTTGTCTCTGCATGTGGTTTAAGTATATTTGCTAAACCAGGATGTGGGCTAAACTCAGAAGATCCCATCATCTGTTGGACAAATGCACCTCGGGCTTCGTTTCCAGTTGGCGAGAGACTACTCTGAGATTCCACCAAAGTTTCAGTGGTCTGGATTTCTACTGAATTTTTTTCCTGGAGCTTGGACATTTCATCACCGGTTTCCTCACTTATACTTTTAAACAACTGGCTTTGGCAAAAGAACTGTAATTTTTTATTTTTTGATTTCCAGCCTCCTGGAGCCTGATTATACAGCTTTTTTGTTTGTCCCCACCTATTGTGTTGTAACTTCTTAAATTCACTTCTTTTCAATCTGGCTAACGTGAAATTACTTTTCACGTTCAAGACTGGAGAGCTGACCATGTTATGCAGTATTTGTAATTTCCCTGCTGGTTTTGAAGGAGAAGATAGTGCAAACTTTTTAAAGTGCTTCCTGAAAGGGCAAGTACTAAGGTCAGATTGTTTCGTTTCCATCTTTAGCTCTCTGGTGTTAACTACTTCTAAAGGATTGCGAGCGTTCGCCTTTCTCACTAGAGAGAGAGACTGTGTTTCTGTGGTTTGCATAAACCAGGCGCACAGTTCATCCATATTACACTTTTTCTGAAAAAGCATTTTTATAGGTGATGTTTCAAGTTCTACTAGGCAGGAGTCTAAAGGACTTGACATTTCAGCGTTACAGTCTCGGTCAACGGGATCCCTTTTTTCACACACACATTTATCAAACTCATTTCCCCCCACTCGCAACCAGGTATTAGTTATCCGTTCAAATCTATTATTTAGTTCTTCCAACAAAGTGTCGCTTGAGGTGGAAGTAGCCCACCACCTGAGAGAAGGACTTGATGAAAAAATGGGGTCTGATGACACTTCATTAACGGGCCTGAATTCACCCTCCTCAGGACCCTTTCTTGCATTCCCTGAATTTCTCATCTCTGAGGTATCTTTGGGTGCTACGCTCTGATTTGATTGCCTGTATTTATCCTTTTGATCTTTAGCTTTTCTCAAATGGAGCTTATAAGACTTATGTAGCAAGGCACTTCTACAAGTAAACGCACTAGAAGATGCTAATGAATGCAGAAAGTGAAGGGAGGGTTTTCTGTCCCTGACCGAGTGTCTCATCGGAGATTCACGTTTTCTTGACGCTGTGGTAGTAACACGGTCTGATCCATCCTTCCTGGGCTCCTTCTGAACGCTCTTCACTTGGGCCATTTTGCTGCCCAGCGCGCTGCCTTTCTCCTGGGGTATGTTCTTCTCTAACACGGCCTGTTGGTGGAAAGGAGGCAAACAGTTGCTAATACTCACTTTTCTCTCCTGAGGTGAAAACCTATTAACAGTCACTGATATGCCAGAGATTTTTACTTTTGCTGGTCTACCAGGTTTTCGAACGGTGGTTAAAGGTTTCTTAACTGGCCGTATAATGTTGCTGCAAGGATGTGGTGATGCTGGGTTACTCTTGATAGGCCTAATATGGTCATAACCAGAGACCTCCTTCTCAGCAGAACTCCGTAAGGCTGTTACTATTTCAGTCAAAGCACTTGCATTTTCTGCATTTTGCCTTGCTTTACTGCCATCAGCAGCAAAACTGGAATCAACGTGTTGTGTAGGCAGAGCGCTGATTGCATTTAGGCTACCTTCAGAAACATGTCTTTTCGTTCTTCTTGACCTTCCAAAAACAACAGTCACAATAATGTTTTTGTTACCGGTAACTTCTTCCATTAGCGCTGCATCAGATTTGGTACTTTTCCCAGCACCACTAAGTTCAGTTCTATGTTCTGTACTTTCAGGTTTTGTACAGTCTGGTTTTGGTTTTGGAGGTCTTCCAATAGGTCTCTTAATCTGCTTAACAACTTGAGGACCTATTTTCTTTGGTCTACCAGGTTTTCTTTTCAACACCAATTCACTGCTGCTGCTCGGTTTCTCCACAGTTTCTTCACTCTGCTTAGAACTATCTGAGTTTGTTTGACCACCAGCACAAGAGTCTGTATCTGCCTCTGCATAAATGCAGCTTGATTGCTCCTTAGTGCCATTTTCATTGTGATTACAATCCTCGACGCAGATCGCACGAGAAGGATCTTCTGTGGCCTGTTCTTCCAACACAGTGTTTGGGTGTCCCTGCACCAAGCCACCATCTGTACTTGCTTTTGCAGTCGCAACTGCAGATGTCAAAGTGTATTTGACTCCTTCACTACTATTAATCTCTGAAACAAACATTAGCTTAATAGGACTAGAGTAGTTTGAGGGAGATGAGATCTCTCCAGCTTCACAAGTTGTGGGCAAGTCCCCATTACTGGCAGTTGAACCGGGTGAATCAAAGCATGAAGATTTCAAAAAGTTGCCATCGATTTCTTGATCTATATCGACTGTTTGCTTATTTGTTGTCACACACAAAGTTGCGGCTTTACTTGTGCTCGGCACGTGCCAATGTGGAAGGAAACCTTGTGCTAGGCACGTTGTTTCACTCCCGCTGAAGGGTAAGCCACTCCTCGCAGCTGCGCTCATAACGTGCTCGTAAGCACCATCTTTTAACTTTTGGCTTATTTTACAACTATCCAACAATGAGTTGTTGGTCTTTTGGGCTAAGTTTATTGTATCTTCTAAACGTTCAACAATAACTTGTAGATTTGCGTCTCTCACAATCTTGCTTACATTTCTATCACTACATCTTTCAGCGCAAACATCTTTCTTTATTCTCATTGTTTCCAAACTTTGCAGAGAGCTTTTTACTTTGGATGGTTTCCCAAATACAATATTGTTTGTTACATACACCGAGTACCATCTAGGCAGCACAAGGTCATGTTTATTTCTGCCCCAAATTCTCCTGCTTTCCTCCTTCAGAGACATCTGATCAGTCTCTTTTATAGTTGCAAAATCTCCTTGTGATTTTCCAAAATTAATTGAATTGGTTGCAATAGTGCTGTTTCCTGAAAGAGAGAGAAAGCCAGAGCTGCTCTGAGTATCAGCAAGAGGTAGTTTGAAAGAATCTGCTCGGTGCACTGGAAAGCACACTGGTTTGTTTTGGCAACTCATACACGGATTACTTTCAAGGTCTTGCAAAGCTTTACCTTCTATCATGGTAAATTTGTGTCTTTTGTTTGGATATATCTTATCAAAATTTTTTGGAGATTTCTTGGCATTTCTCTCGGAACTGGACTTTTTCCTTATGAGAGTTTCATCAAGGCTTGCAAGTTCCCTCTTGATTTGCAAAGACTGGCGTCGAATGAATGGCGAATCAGGAGAATTATACGTGGCAAATAGAGTTTCCTGACGCTTGCGAAATCTTGTTTGGATAATTTTATTTTCCACTTGCTTATCATGTTGGCTAAGTAATTCCATAAAACTGTAATCACTTGCCTTAGCATTATGCAAGAGAGAGGTTATGAAGTCTCTCAACTTCACATCATTTTCTGGTGCCCTGTCACTGCTAGAGAATTTTACAAGATTTGTTGCTATATCTGTAGTTTCTATTGATTTCAGTTTTTCATTAATCCGGTCCATTAAATCCTGGAAAATGGCAGAATGCTCACCTTTCTCAAACTTCTCAGAATTTATATAGTAATTGCTGCTTTCTTCGTCTGTTGATAGCAAAGTTCCCTCTGAACATTCTGCCACTCTTCCTCTGTGTATTTTACTTTCACATTCAAATTTTCCATTGCTTTCTTCAGCTGGCAGGAGAGAGGGAGGCTGGTTCACGGCTATTTCAAGCTTGCTGTCCAGCGTTGGAAAGCCTGTAACCGATTCTTCCAACGTTTCAAATTCCTCCCTCTGCACAGGTGACAGTGGAGGCGGCGACGGGCTGCGGGATCTACTTGAATGTTTCGTGCTGCTCAGGGCACCACAGTCGCCAGCAGGAGATGCAGGAGATGCACACGCTGCTGCTGCTGCTGCTGCCACAGAGTGCCTGCGGTTACCGTTCTGCAACTGTTCAGCACAGAACCTATGAGAACTACACCCTTTGGTCACCACTGTCTTAATACATCCAATTGCTACAGTTTGGCACGACAGACAATGGAAATCTTTAATACAGACAGACAGAGGCGGTAAACAAGTGTTTGGCCTTTGATTTGGTAAAGAGCACCTTTTTGTCAGCATATGCCCATTGCAATTGCTAAATGAAATGTGAACATCCTCTTCAGTGAGGGAACTGGGAGTTTCAGAGTGGACAAAATGTGTTTGCTTGCAATTGCAAACTACAGAAACATTTTCATCTTGTATTAAAAATTTTAACATGGCCAAAGTCTGTTGCCAGTGATATGAACAAAAAGTCTCCAACACTTTGTTTAATGTTGATTTTCCTTTTTCCAAATTAGTTGTTTCCTCTGATTTTGCATCAGCTGTGGAACTTGAACTGAAAATGAAAACAAATCAAAACAAAACATAAATTACAGTAAAGTACCATAGAGAATGTCTGTTATAATGGTTAAACTCAAGACTAAAACTCTGAAGTTTGCAAACAGTTTCTATTCAATTTGTACAATTCATTCATTTTTGCAAGTTTCGGCTGAAAGGATGTGTATCTTATACATAGTGGTGACAGTCCTACCATTGTAAGAAGTAAAACAATTAGAAAGAAATTAATGGACAAAACCAATACTCGGAAATAGAGCTTCTTAGGAAAGTTATTTCAATATTATCAGGCTCCTGATGTTTCAAACTATGCTAGCCACTACCAACAGCAAAGCCTCACCAACAAGCCTGAGAGTTTATTACTACTCCCATTTCATAAACTCAGTAGTTGAGGCACAAACAGGTGAATGGGCTTCATACGGTCACACGCTGGAGCTTGTGGCAGAGGCAGATCCACCTCTCCTGCGCTCCAGGCATGAGCTTCAACGTGACCATCTATTTAAAAGTCCTTTTTAGGATTTATTTATGAAAGGACACTGAGTCTTAAACTGCTCATGGAAAGTGTTTTAAAATGGCCATTTGCTCTTGTTACTGTTGATTTTAGACATAAGCCTCCCTTTTTCATTTTTAAGTACATTGCAGAAGCCTGTCACAGGCTTTTCATTGCAATATGTTACACGTGTGCACACACACACAGCACACGTGGATCCTCAACAATACAGAAACAGAGATCATCACCACTAAAATAAGTAAATTCTGCATCAAAGATTTAAATCCTTTAAACCTCAAATCCAGGGCAGGCCTATATCTATATCTAATAAGACTTCTAAGCAGTTGTTCTGAAAGATACTCAGAATAAAATCACTTGTGAAATATTACCTTAACTATTTAAGTCATTTCTTGTCAATTATTAAAACTAACATAGCTACTTACCTAATCAATCATTTATACTGAAAATTTTCCATAGTAGAAATTTATACAGACCTCTCTCCAACTAAAGACAAAATCCATTTCTTGGGTAGCAACTGCTATCAGATAGTTAACATCTAATGCAAAAGTTTTACTGAAACCACTTGCATGAGCAAAAAATATTGTAAAAATTCTGTTTTAGAAAAGTATGTATTGTTTAAACATATCACCAAACTCTGAACATGACACTAACTTTTCAACCTAATATAATCTCATGTAATTCTTGCATTAAAGCCTATACTTTAAAAAAGAAAAATCATTTTGATCTATTTTACAATTGTAACAATCAAGGAACAAACGTTTTAAAAAGCTAACATATTTATTTAAAGTGGCCTATTAATTAGTTCATATTTGTTGTAATTAGCATCAACCATTTATTTTGCTTTTGATTGATCACTAAAAATTATACATATATGATTTTGTGCTTTTCTTGTCTCCCCTGAATTTTAAAAATAAAAGCCTAAAATAAGCCTGATGCTATTGGATGAAACTGTTATTATATTTAAACTAACTGCTAGCATAGGAAGAAAAACAATTTGCAATCTAAAATAAAAAGAAAATCCTTCAAGGCATGTCTTGCAAGATCTAACTGGTTTTGAAACAGCACTGCACTGAAAATAATTTGAATGTTACTTGTCTAGGTTAACTTGAGTTCATTTTGTGACAGATTGCCCTACAAATTCAGGAGTCTCAGTGTGTCAAAAATATCACTTAAAAAAAGAAACCTTTTTCTAATATTTTAATGATGGATAAAAATTAGTTGCCCTCCTCATCACTATGATTTTAACGAAATAATGCTTGGTAAAGTTATATACAAAAAAAAAGAACAAAGCGCAAGATCTTCACAATTTGGTAAATGGCAGCAGATTCGTTAAGTACTAGTTTGCTGAAATGATGACTACGGAACTTCCCGCTGTCGACCGAAGTCTCTAAGCAGACACGTTCGTCTTCCTAGGCTTACATGCTATGTCTAATGGCGTTTCACTGGATAGCTTCAGTTGGAGACCATATATCCAAAATGTGAGTAATTTTTACTTAATGTAGGCTCACTGGTGGAAGAAATCTTCCCTTGATGTGTTAGTTCTTTAAGCTGATGGGCATCTTTGTCTATTGTAACAGTACCACCCTAAACGACTCCCCCCACCTCCACATCTCCACAAACGCCCAAGCTCCTTAATAAGCTGCAGTTTGGGAGCGGAGCTTAACATGCAAACAAGTTAAAGCTTTAATATTCCCTGCAATTCTTTCCTATAAACCTCTTAAGGGTGTGTGGTCACGCTCTCATCTAGGCTCTCCCGCGGGCCAGAGGGCTCTAACACGACTGCCAAGCAGGGCAGGAAGGGCCATCGCCTCCAGAACCGCCAGCTTCCTTCAGAGAACTGCCCTGCACCTCCTACAGATCCCATGGGAGCCGGTCAGCGGGAGCGGGCAGGGAATGGCAGGGCCCAGAGCACCAACGGGCGCCGCTTCTCCCGATCCCGATCCCGCTGTGCACAGCGTCTCTGAAGGCGAGAGGGAGACACGGAATTGCCTCACTTCCCTGATGGGGGCTGGGGCAGCCAAGAGCACGGACTGCCTGGAACCCAAAACTGGCACTTAGGCGGAGATGGCTTAAGGTTAAGAACTATCTTTTCAGCATATTATGTTTAATAAAAAACTAAAAACGAAAAAATAGGAAAAAAAAAGAAAGGTAAATCTTTGCCATCTCCTCAAACCCCCAAAAAAAAACTGTTGGGAAAAGACTCTAATAAGAAGATGACTGCCAAAAGATTTCCCTTCCTAGGGCTCTATCTTGTCTTCTCAGCCATAGACAACAACTGAGATTAACAGAGCAACTTCAAGTTGCTCCCGTAACTGAACAAAACATACCGTCAAATACTCAGGAAAAAAACAGAACTGAGAGAAATACAAATCTGGACTTACTGAAATGTTCATTTTCTGGCTTTACTAGGTAAGAAAATATCCACCAAAAAGCTAACATAAATAGATATATAGATAACTGCATTAGGAAAACAAGCGTTCAGTTCCATTTAGCTAATGTTTTTGCTGATTTTCAGCTTTTATGAAAGAATTTTACGATAGATCATTTAGTTTTCTAGAGTGAATTTCCTCTCACTTGAGTAACAAATTCTGAGAAAAAAACCCTTCTTTAACACACCTATTTCTGCTTTATAAGTGTTCTCACAGCAGAACAGCCACTAAGTGCTTAATTTGTACAGGTTTTGATCTTCTGCCACTGCCATTAACCTCGTGCCTCAGGAGCAAGTCAAATGAGTCAGTGTACAGCTTTTTTCTTTTCTTTTTTTTTTTTTTTTTTTTTTTTTTACTGAATGAGCAAATCAATCACACATCAGTGTTGTAAATTTATGTGCAAAAGCATTGAAGTGCTTTACTACAAATTACAACGTAGAAACACGTTAACTAAACAATTAAATTCATACAATCAGATTTAGGAATATAACAACACAAAGAAGAAACAGAATTACAGTACATTTACAACACAAGACAAATACATGGAATTCATTAGAAAATATTGTAATAAATAATTCATGAATTATAGTGCAATTGATTTATGCATAAATATAACTAATTGCCTAGAAATCAGTTGTTAACAAAATCTGTCAAAAAATCAAGGCAGCCACAGAGTTTTACTAAATTACTGCGACAATGGAAATACTGCAATTAAAAAACAAATACAAGTATTTGTACTGTAAACAACTAAAAAAATCAGTCTCACTAAAGTTAATATACAATTTAATATAAAATTGTCATTAGCTACCAGAAAATGGTTTAAACAGCTTTACTGAGCAGTAGTTCTAAAAACAGAGGCACTGTTTTTTAATATAAAATACTTGAGAAACATTCAAATAAGTAGAAAGCATGTAGGGCTTGCTTTCGCCTTCATTTAAAATTCTGCTGAAACAAGAATTTTCAGAAATCGTCAATTACTAAATAGTGACTGGTAACTGAATTTATAAAACAGTTCAAAATGTATAATTTAAATGACATTTAATGGAATACACAGGGGTTGGGGAAGGAGAATCTACACATTTCCCTGCCTTTCCTTAATTGTGTAATCAAAGGTTAGCCTAATAATTAGAAACAAACAATTCTGTTCCTTTTAAACACTTACAGGTTGAATATCATCTATAAACTATCAAAAAATATTTTAATATACTATTTCTGACCAAAAAATAAATACAAGTACTAAAATGTTGAAAATTAATTATAATATTACATACAAAACTACTGAGCACTGTTAAGTCAATAGTAAAATGATCCCTGATTTTATGAATCCTGTCTTTTTTTGGTCAGGTCATCTTTTAAATGATATAAAAGAGTATCGTAACTTGCCTTCAATATAAACTTTTGACTCAAGTTTATAGCATTGTCTGAGGAGTATAAAATTTCAGTACGGTACAAATATGAGGCAGTGTATTGAAACCAAACTTTTTGCTAGTAAAACTGTAAAAAGAGGGCTCTTGAAACACTTAGCTTTTTTTCAGTGGGGGTAAATCAACAAATTAATCCTTCTGGCCCTCACAAAATATGGCTTAATTCTTTTACAATGAAAGATGACCCTGACATCTGCTGTTTTGTGACCTGCTTGTCATTAGGTACAGTTCTGCTTAAAAAAAGGATTCATTCTGTAATATGCAAGTAAACCTTAACCACTGAAGAATATTCAGTGTAGATCTGAGAGACCAAAGTAGTGATACACTGGCTGTGCAGTTTCACTTAATTCCTTAAGGATTTATTCTGTTTAAAAATGTAAGCTGTTATCTTTTAAGAAGGTTAATAAATATGGGCCAGATTTTGCCATCAGTATCACCAAACTTGGTAGCAAATTTATCTAAAAATCAAATTACATGCTGAGGCCCATATGTGTCTAATATCCCACTTCATGTATATAGTTCACACATGCACATGCACACTTAAGTGAAAAAAAAACAGGTCTGATTGTGTGTGCATGTGCTCAAAATCTAGAAAAGTTGGAAAAAAAGGGTTTTTTTTTCCCCAAGCCAAATTAGATGTTTGCAAAAACTGAGGTTCAATATTGGATGTATGAAGCAAGTCTTCATTCTTTATATCACAAAGCACATGCCTTCATATGAACAAACACAATTCACATAAAGTCCAATGTGAATATTTTGAAATTCTTTTAAAAACTGTATTATGAAGGTAATTGGTCTCTCTTAAATTCTATTAAAAATTACATATTTAAAGTGAACTGTCTACCTTCTACCTACCAAATTTATAAAAGAATTTATATTACTGAAAGTTCAAAACAGCTTCACTGTTTAATATTTGTTTTTCTATCAAGACCCTGAACTGCAAATTTGGTTATTAGCAAAATGATAATGTAAGTTGTTTTTCATTTCGATAAACTGAAAATGTTTTGAAATGTCAGCAGCAAATACATTACAGTTACAGTGAGGTTTTTCAATAGGAGTGTGACACAATCCTTAAATAAATTTTAAGTAGTCATAACATCAACTAACCAGCACGTTTAAACCAAAAAACCATTCTCAAGCTCATTCTGTGCACATTATGAACATGCTCTAAGTTGCATTCCAGCTTTCTTCTTAAACCTTACAAGTTACCTTATTTTTCAAACTAAAAAGGAAAATTATGTTAATAAAGTTTAAATTATTTTATGCTCTTAGTATTCCATCTTATTTCATATTTAATAATTCTAAAACTACAGTAATTTCTCAGGTTTCGTAAGTGTACATTTTGTAAACACCAATTTCCTGCTAAACCACCAACAAAATTCTCTTAAAATGATAAAAAATGCAGTTTATGACTGCTAACATACATTTTTATCAATGAAATGTTTATTTCTTACTTGTATTGGATATTTAAGTATTGATGAGAATTTTTTTTTCTTTCACAGAATGTACTATATCCTACTAATACTTCACAAATCCACTTCCTTTTAAGGAACTAGCTCTTTAAAAAAAAAAAATCCCTTGATTTGTATAATCTGAGTTACTTACAATTTATTGCAAGTATTTTGTGAAGTATAAAAGTTTTGCAAACCCTTGATCATATATTTCCGTAATAAGATGGTTTGTTGAATGGGTACAGTGGTTCTTTACCAATAAAAAATTATGCTTCACATGACAAATACTTGTTTTCCCCGAAACATCTTTATGCTATTGACTACTAAATAAAACCTGAATCTTTTCACCTATTTATACAAGGATTATATTAAATACACACTATCAGAATTAAGTGAGCAACTCTATAATTCTGTCCACAGTGAAAACCCTGAATAAAACTATTTTCAAAAGGCATGTATGTGGTTTTTTGAACTGTATAATTTCATGTCTTCTGTCAGAGTGAGCATATGTATTTCTCACACAGTGTGTGTATAAAGACATACATACACACACGCACACACACGCGCACACACACGCACACACAGAACAATTTGCTAACAATTATTCTACACAGGCTTGCTACTATTTTTGCAGCTGCCAGTCCCTGAATCTGTCATAGTAAATAAGCCAGTATCTGGTAATCGGAGTTTCTTCTTCGGCGGAGTCTTCAACGTTCCAGATCTTTCTTTTACTTTATATTCTAAAGTGCTGTGAGGTACCCCATAAATTCCTTGTGCTTTGGAAACACTCATTTTCCCACTCATTACCATTGCAATTGCTTCTTCCATTATTTCATGATCATACTGCCGATAGCGGCCACGTTTTTTCCTTGGCTGCTTATTATCTTTACGATCCAAACTATCTTCCGTATTTTCTGAGGCTCCATCTACTGTTCCATTCTTAGCATTAAGACACAAAGGAGAGAGGTCCCCATGCAGAAAGTAGGAATCAACACTTGAGTGAGTTACAGCTCCAGAACATTCAATTTTGTTCTGTTTAGGGAGTATATTTTTCAATTTTTGAAGAGCTGATCCTTCTAGGACTGAGGAGGTTTTAGAAACGTGGTACATAACATCCAGAAGACCAGCAGTATCAGACTGTGGTTTGGATACAGAACTTATTCTTAGCTGAGGAATTTTTAATTGTACAGTAGGACTTGAAGTTTCATATTGAAGATTTTCATTTTTTTCTTTAAATTGAGTGACCATTCTCTGTAGAGTTAATTGGTGGAGGTAACTGGAAGCTGTTGGGAATTTTAATTCTGAGGTTTCAAGTAGACTGAGTTTACTTTTTTCTGTGCGCTCTGCTTGAGCTCTTGCCCACAAGGCTACTTTTTGTAGGACTGCACAAGTTTCTTTACTGTCTTTAAAGGAATAACTATCATTGAAATCTCGAGTTTTGTTTTTAAAAGGTGCAGGCTTTCCTGCTGGTAAGGCTTCTAAGTGGAGAAGTAAAGTTTTTTGAGGTATGCCATAAAGTATGCCTGCTTTATTTATGTCCAGTGCTCCAGACTGAATGTCTTTCAAAGCTTTTGAGAGCAAACCATCTGCAAACTCAGCACTTCTTTCCACATAGTCCTCTCTGTGTCTGTGTAGTCTCCTGGATGGATGGAATGAAACGATGGTAAACTGATGTATGAGAGACTCTCACACAGCTATGGAAGGGAAGGGTCCACTCCTTTATTATACTCCTTGCTTCGGTAACATCACTGCTTCTGATACTTTAAAGCCTTTGAGATGTGGTAGTTAAATGATTATCCTAGCAAAATGTTACAGTTCTGGTAGGACAGTGTGTCAAAATGGTACGGTGGCTTCTATAGCAGCCCTTCCAAGAACTTTATATCCTAGCTCAGTATTTGGTAATATTCTCAAGTGCTTGCTATACTCCCTTGTTCGCATGCTTGCAGAGCGACACTGTTATAATTTTAGTTGTACAATTAACGGTCCATTAAATACCCAAATCCTGAAGGAGTTTTTGTTAGTAGAAACGTGACGTTACCGCTAAACAAGTAATAAAAGAGTCAACCCCCTCATAGAAAATTTGCAGTATTAAGTACAAAACTACACACAAACAGCCCACACTGGCACAAAACTAGGCTTCTACAACAATAAGGTAAAGCGCTGTAATTAACAACCAAGTCCATTTTGGCAGCATAAACGCAGTTTTAAGAACTTCTGGCCACTACTTATAGCTTTCTATTACAAAGTCATATTAAACTTCTTTGTATCATCAAATTATTAAAATGCAGTTTTACATCGTTCAGCAAAATACTGTGTTTGCAGTCCTATTTGTAGCAAATACTTCTGTAACACGTACAGGTGACAAAAAGGGTCCTGCTACAGCTAGCAGATGGGAGGATGCCAAAATAATAACAAAATCAAAAAAAAAAGAAAAAAAGAGTGTTTCACTAGTTTTGTGGTAGCTTTCAGCAGATGCAATACCATTCCTATTGCTGAATGAACAAATTTAACAACTTGCCACCACACACCATAGCCAGAACCATGATGCAAGTATGATGATTAAGAGCTCTCTCTCTTTCCCTCTCTTTCTCCCTCTCTTATTAAGGAATGTTATATAGAATAGCCATTTAACTTGTTCATGTTAGTGGAAGAGCATTTTAAATCTAAATATCAATATTGCAATTTTTGTCCAAAATCAACGTTTCCTAAATAGACTCTTGGAGAATACATTCACATTTCCTTTATCATCCTACTGCTTTTATTATGTTATTTAATTTCAGTTCATTTTTAGTAACATGAACTAAAGTTTGGTGATTGTTCTGATAACTTTTCTTTAAACAGAAAAAAAAAAGGAAAAAAGACAAATGAAACATGATATATACATAGACACACACACTTATGAGGACAAAAATTCTTTCAAAAGCAAAATATAAAACCGCACGTGTGTGTCAGTATATACATTACAAATATGTTATGAACATAAAACTTGGCTTCAGAGAAATAAGAGGCTTGGGTTACTTCCTTTTACATAAGTTGAAAAGAGGCCTAAATGTTGCTTACCCAGACACTGAGTTTTCAGAACACGATGGATCGTATTTTGACTCTTCCAACCTTGCGCTTTTCTTGGTAGAGAGATCTAGCACTCCATCCCCTGCAAAAAACGAGCAGTCATGACAGCTGCTGTTCAAGGACAGCCTAGGAACTTTTGTTAGCAAACGTTCATACCTATGACATAGGTTTTAAGCACTTAACTTTTCTTGTGAAATTATATTTTAAGCAACAATCTTCCAAAAGGAAAAGCTAACATATAGAAATACTGTGCAGGGATTGTTCAGCCTATCTAGCTGCTGAAAAATGTGAATTACCAATCCCTGACTCTTGTGCAGCCAAGTCCCCTTTCATGTCCCTTTCGCAACGTTTTCTCCAACTTTACTTGATATTCACAGGCACCATGAGACATATACATATATATAAATATATATATATATATAAAAAAAACCCTCAAATTTCTATAATAAAATCCAAAAAGCAGAAATTAACCAAAGTGTAAAAAAAATCCATTTTCAGTATTTCATAATTGACTTTGACAACATAATTGACTTTACCTGGTGGTAAAGTAAGCTGTAAAAGAGAGAATAGGACTGAAAATACAAGCTCCCAAAAAAAAAAAAAAAAAAAAAAAAAAAAGGCATTGAGCCTCTAAACTGTCAGGAGAACTAAATGATCATTCAAGGTCCATGACAATTGGTTCCTCCAATGCTGCCTATGCATTCACTAGGTATAATTGATTTTCTTAATGGCAATGCTTTACAAAAAGATCTAATGAAACTCTTTTTTCAGCAAATCAGATTATTTTTATGTTCAAAGAAATGGATCTACCTCTGGTGTTAGTTTTCAGCATGACAACATTAGCTGTAACAACACCAAGGTACAAGTAAGACTGACCAAAGGTTATCTGCAATAGTCTGGGACATGCAAGGGCTACCAGCACCTGAACCTCCTCCAGACTGGTCATGTTAGAGAAACGGGGGAAAACATAGAACAAAGAACAGAGGCAATACTGGATATCCTTGAGTTCCTACAAATGGACACTTCTGTGGTAGTTCTGGCAAACAGACCTCTCTCTTTTTCAAGGAAGCCACTCGTTGTTATGAACTACTCTTTTGGGTGAGATCATCTTGGCCAACTCTCTGTCTCCAGCTGGCAGACTCTACTCCTAGGGTGGGAGAGCGCCCATCAGCCTGGCCACTACCCGAAGCTCATTGCTCAGTAACTACAATCATTGGGTTAAGGACGTGAGAGGGGTCACTCTCCTGCTCACTTTGTCCTCACTACCAGCCTGGGTCCTACTGGGTGGAAGTTCTTTTTGAATCCACCGACACTACTTTCACAACGTCCTTTATTTTCAGTATCTTTAAAATAAAGCTTTTTTTTTTCCTGTCTTCTTAAAAGACATCCAAGAGTTGCAGAGTAAAGACTCAAGACTCACAGGATTTATTATTTAGATAAGCCATTTTAAAGACGGCTGCTGTAAATTCAAAGAACTTGTCTAACTAAGAAAAGGAACCTAAATCATCTGTATTGAGACCCTTACCTGTTTTACTGGAGAAGCAGAATTTGAGTTCCAAAGATTCGAACACTGAATATTGACAGGGCAAATCTTGAACTTCCTATTCTATTTCTGCCACTTCATTTGGAAATAATTATAACAATAACTATAGCTAAAATAATAGACTAAAAAATTGCCAGAAAATTAAAAGTTTTTGTTAGGAAAGAAACAATTGCCTACTTTTTGAAAGTCTGCATACCAAAGAAGAAAAAAGTACTTTAGCAAAGAATAGCATCCTTCTGTATCTCAATTTAAGGTTGCTTTGTTGCTGTGGCACAAAACTTCATAGCAAGACTAGTATCTTTAATACTTGAACCACACTACAGCAAACACAGCGGTTTGTAAGGTCTGAGAATCTAGAGTATCTTAAAGAAGATAGCACTGTAAATTACAATTACAACCCAATAAATGCAAGCCAAGGAACTATTTTCAGTCTCCTATGTTTTGCTGGAGTTGTATGATTCTAAGCTTGCTGTTTACCGTCATTATGAGAAAGATTATTAAAAAAACAAAAAAGGAAGTATGACAGTATCTCAAACTTCCTCAGTACTTCAATCTTTTTGGACACAGGATCATCACTTTCAGATTAGCTGAGGGTGGCAGCAGAATTTTCTTCCCATCCCTACCCCATTCACCTTCTGCCTTCCTTTTGAATAAGCTCAAAGATTTATTTAGGCTCAGGGAGCAACCATACATGTCTAGGGGGACTTCATCCTGTTTTAATGCTGAAACTCGTTATTCTTAATAATCAATTGTGCAGGGAAGCAACAGCCTATGATGCTGAAATCAGAAAAGTAGTTTCACTACCCACACATTTAACTCTATGTTGAGCTGGCCAGTAGTACATCTCCAAAATCTGTAATTTGTCTATAGCTGGGACACATCAAAGCACAGTGGGCAAATACCCTCTGATTCGAATTACACACGGTAATCCCTGACATGAACTGTCTCTGCTGACCACACAAAATAGAAGTAGGAATTTCACAGTTAGCATTTCTGCTGTCAAAAAGAAAGTGCATTTAAGCTTCGTTTACAATAACCATGTTAAGCAAGGCACATCCACATCAAATTTTTTTTTTTAAATATGTCATCTAATTTCAGACTGCATCATTATGAATACACATGTGAAAGACACTTTAATTCTGACAAACACATAATAACTGGAGAGCATACATAATTTTAAACATTTACTTCTGGATTGACGTGAAACCGTGCATATTCCAAAGACAGAAGCTGCTTTTGTGCATGCTCCAGATTGCACAGAACAGTCATTATCCTTCCTCAAAACTCCTGCTTAACTAAATTAAACTCAAAGTCCAAAGCTTTCTTGTGATTACATTGTTAGCAGTTTTAGATAGTTATGTTCATGAAGGCAAGGATATATATTTCATTTTTTTAAAGTGACAATGGACAGACTTTATTTTTCTGGTTTCCTTGTTTCATCAAACTATAATCATTAAGGCATTGAAGACACAAAGTAGGAAAGTTTTATTTTCTCTTTCCAAAACTTAATACAGTCTAGATTGAAAGAATCATGAAGGGTCTAAGGTACGACACAGCCCAAAATGAACTTTAATCCTGAAACATTCAGTATCTTCTATCTTTTTATTTTCACATGGCTTCTTAAAAGCTATGTCTTCAACAGAATATTCAGCCACCCTTTTCCTCTGTCCCTGCTGGCAACATTTTTTTTTTCTCTAATTAGAATACTGGTATCCAGCAGGAAGGAAATGCCTTTTTCTCATAGTACAAAAGTCAAATGAAATAAGAGACACTATGGCAGGCCTGTGTCAGGCCAGCTGAGCTGATTTAGATTCAATACTGTAAAGCTGAGAAATTTTCATGCCAATAACAGAAGTCATGCATTCAGAAATGAGCTTATTTATCTTTTAACCCTTTTTTTTGTCAGAAAGAATGTTTTCACAGTTCTAATTTAACTTTTTTTTATTACTGCTTATAATATATTATTTTTTCGTAAGTGTTAAGCTGATACAATAACAATTTTCCTCCCAATCTTCATTTTAATCACATAGGATAATAACTTTCCTTCTTTGTACTAATTATTATTTTGAGTAGAAAGAAATTACAGATATTTGGTAAAGAGATATAGATTTTTTTTAAGGTAATTGAAACCAGAACACAATAATAAGGGATAATAAGGTAATAAAGAGCAGCAGTATGATTTTTCATTGAGTAAGTATATATAGAAATTTACCTTGCTGAGTATTCTGTTCTTGAGTTCGATTCACAGTGAGGTCTAGAGGACTATCCTGTTCTTCCTGAAGGGAGTTTTCCGTTTGGTTCATTTGGATACTTTTACATATCAGACTTGGTTCAAATGATGAACCATTTCTGTTCTCTTGAATTTTGCTACTTTTTGAAATGTACTCAATCGCAAACTGACGGATCATCTTTTTCATTAATTCCTGAGCAACTAGGGGAATGTTAGGATCACAGTTCTGAGGAAGATCTAGAAATAAAAAAAAAAAAAAAACCAACAAACACACAGGCAACAGGTGTGTTAAGAAAACAATATGTAATTGCTTTTCTTTAAACAAGTATTATTCATAAGTACAATGAATCAAACACATTGATTTAGATGTGATTTTTTTTTTCCTATGAGTGCTTCTAATTGGAGAGCACTTGGAAGAGCATGATTTATACATTGCAGTAGCTTTTGCATGTTATGACTGTGGAATAAGGTAAGTAAATTAAACTGTGTGGGAGAGAAGAAATAATGCAAGTGTGTCAGAATCCATGTAAACAAGTGGAATTTTCACTTGAAGACTCACTTTCAGTTTGGACGATAAAAAAAGAATAAAAATAATGTAAGCTAAATAAACTTATCAGTTAATAAAGAAGTTGTTTTTTATGAAAATCATAACAAAAATAATTATTTGAAAGCTGCTAAAAAACGAAAGGGAAACCTTATTAGACACCTAACTAAAACTGCATTTGAGAATCACTGAAGTAAAAAACTGCATTTGAGTGAAATTATAAGCAGAAATTCCAAAATGCTATCAAAACAAATGCCAGTAGATAGGTTAGAAAAAAAAAAAAAAAAAAAAAAAAAAAAGAGAGAGAGAGAGAGAGAGAGAGAGAGAGAGAGAGAGAGAGAGAGAGAAATATTACTCATTCATCCATGCAATCAGATGCAATCAGAAACCTGCAACGTGCTATTTATCAAGGCAGGCACAATTTCCCAATGCTCAAAGATTTGTAGTAGTATTTCACTATCCCATCCATGCTATCTTGTTCTTTCCTTCAACTCTGTGTCCCCAGAGTACATTAACACCCCTTCCAAGGCTTTATTTAACACCTGCTACCTCTTAAGCCCATATGCAATGAGCCACTGAAAACACATTTTAACAAAAAAATAAAAAAGAAAAAAAACTATAAAAAAAAAAAAAAAAAAAAAAAAAAAAAAAAAAAAAAAAAAAGGGATGCAGAAGCGTGGCAACTTTTAGCTGTGTCTTGATTGCCTGAAAGAAATGCCAAAGGACGTGGTTACAGCTATTTGGTTGCTTAACCTAGTCTGAAACAGAAGAGACAATCAATTGAGTTTTGTTTTCTTGGAGATGGGAAAACTAAAAGGATTGGACCTTGGGACTATTTCTATCAGGCAGACATTTTCATGAATAATTGCAAATCTTCAAGAGTTTAGAGTACGTTAACATCACATAGCATATTTGTTGAAGCACTTCATGGCAATAAAGCTTTATGCATCTATCAGCAAGAAAGTAACTGCCAAAAGAGACCAAGAAATGCTGCTCAAGATGAGAGGTGGTTTTTTTTGTTGTTTTGTTTTTGGGTTTTTTTTTTTTTTTTGAGGCTTATTCAAAACATTCAATTTGGAGAACCCATTTTCACCAGGAAGCTATTGCAAGGAACTGCAGCACAGTTACCTGGTAAGAATGGGATGTCCTGCTAAGCGTACGCAAAAGGGCAGCAGAACTGGAATTTCTGGTCAATGCTTTTGGCTGTTTCTTTGGTTAAATTTTAGCAGACAAGCTGAAGCACCAGCATTTCCAGAGTGCAGGCTGCGTATTCTCACTTCAAGAGACATTTGTACAACAACAGAACAAGAGGGCTCATGGTGGAAGGCCTATCCTCTCGAACTCTTTCAACCAACTCTCTACCTCAGTTTCTAATAACTGTAAGAGGTTCTGGAAAAAGATTTCAAGGTGAAAATGCTGGAGGATATATGCAGACAAAAAAAAAAAAAAATCTTTCCCTCATTATGTAACACCCATCCACAGGTACTCGGTTTATTAATATTTCCTGATTCTTCTAGATCATGAATGCAATAAATGCTCAATGGACATCTTTAGTGATAAGCTTATTTAAAAAGAAAGTGAAGGAGAAGAAAAACATCAAAAGAAAACAAACTTTGCAGTAGTAGGGCACCTAAGTGTCAAAATGATAATATAGCTTACACAAATGACAAAAGGAGAAGAAAAATTAAGAGGTTGAAATTAATAAAAGTTACTGAGGAAAAGAAAAGAGAAACAAGCACCTGTTAATGCAGGGAGAAATCTTAGGATTTTCACAGCAAGTGATGAAATTACTGATTTTAACTTAGAAACAAACAAACAAAAGAACAGACTGCAAGTAATCAAGGAACTCAAAACACATACAATATCCTCAACACTCTACAATCTACTGGATATCTAGTTCAGAAAGACTCTACTGATAGGAGAAGTTATTTTGTTGCATGTAGCCAAGGAGAAAAAAAGGAATGTGTGCCTGTGTGTGTGTGTTTGTGTTAGAAGAGTTTGGGACAACAGGTAACCATCAGTGCAGGGAGAAACATTTCACATCCTGATACAGCCAGTGCCTTTAAAAAGGAAAGAATCACGGAACATGAGGTGTGTCTGTCATTAGGCAGAGAGAACAAAAGTCAGGAACAAATAATTGCTTATCATTAATAACTAACATCAATTATTATACTAGTGCAAGAAAAAAAATCCTTCAAAACTGCCAGCTTTTTATTCCCTTTCTATTGCAGATTTCTCGCATTGCTAATATCTAAGCATGACTTACTTGCAGACATTCCTAGAAAAAGCAAAACAGAAAAAAACCACCTTTCAACCTAGTTGAAATAACAAAGATGTGTTTTGTATTGTAATATTTTCTTTAGAACTAAGTATTTTAACCCTTTTCTAATCATTTTCAAATACTTCCTTACAGAAAAATAAACACAATAACATTTCTAATATTTTCTATTGCCACCATTACTGTTCATTTATAGATTTAACTTACTATAGAAGACAATTCTATGAGAAATGTATATTAGAGCACAAAAAAACATATTTCTTTCAAGTTAAATAATCTGAAAGACATGCCCCAGGGACAAATTCATCTGCTATAGTTTTACCCGCTAATGGATATCAATCCACAGAATTAGACCACAGTCTAAGTTTATCTGCCAAAAATGCAAACAGCAGGGCTATCCCATCTTCAGCACCAACTGTTTCTTTTTCTAAGTCATTCAATCATCACTCATTTTGTAAGGGACCTCAGGAGGTCTCTAGTCCAACCTCCTGCTCAAAGCAGCATCAACTATGGGATCAGACCAGGTTTCTTTTTTCAGTTGGATCTTGAAGACTTCCACAGGAGCAGAACGCACAACCTTTCAGAGCAGCCAATTCCACTGCTTGACTCTCCTCACGATTAAAATTTTCCCTTCTGTCCAGTCAGAATATCTTGTGCTTCCATTTGTGTCATCTCCCATATTCCTGTTATCCACCATTGTAAAGAGCTTCACCCAGTTCTCTAGAGAACTTCCTCAGTGGTACTGGAATCTAACGGTACTACTGGTACTACTAATACATTTTTATGCAGAATGCATTACTTCCTAATCAGACAAAGCTATAGATACACATATTACAAAGAAGAAATAATAATGAGTATTTTGAAATTAGGAGTAATTTCCCATGTATCTCCACATAATAAAGGAAAGAAAGGTGAGAGATGCTGTCTAGTGAATGGAAAGAAGAAAAGGTGATAGTTTAGGAAACATGCTCAATTTTTGAAAGGTAAAAAATAGTCTTTTTAGGGGTAAGTAGAATTTTATATAATATTTTATCATTTCAGTAGAAGATTTCTGGGGAGTCAGAATAGCATACACACACTTTGTACTATATGGCTTTTAGGTACATATTAATCACATAATTATAAGATAAAATTACTGCTCCCTGTGTTTTGATGTTTATTGCAGTAACCCTTCATTGTACATAATAAATACTTAAAAAGTAGTTTAAAATTGGTAAATGCATTTTAATGTAGGGGAAGAAAACTATGAGATCTCTGAGTTTGCAAATCTCTATCACTAGCAAATACTTTTTTATTATCAGTAGATGGCACCAGTTACACTTGTATGTGTATGAACTAGAAGTTTTGATTCTAAGATGTCAGGAGTCATGATTAGAGCTGTTACAATCGTTTAAATCTATATGTCTACATCTGTTTGAGCTTCTATTGTCCACATACTGAATTTACACCACAAGGCAGCTACATTTAATCCAGGGATGATGTATGTACATTCGTACTATTATATTTCCTGTAGAATAGTCTTTAAGGAGTTGGTGTAAAGATAGCTCTGCTTTCCTCTAATTCCTCTCAGAACAATGCAGACCTCCTGCTACTGTTCGAATCAGAAAAGGCTAAATGAAGCATTTGCACGCAATGACCTGATATGTGTGCTTGGATTTTTGTCAGGATTCCAGTCAGAACACAAGACAAAACAACAATAAAGTTGCTTTGTTATTATGATGATTAATAGTAATGATTAAGACTCAGGATTCATGTTTAAGAACAAGTCTTCCTCAGTCTATGTACTACATTATCTTATTCTATTCAAATGCATGTTCTTTATTGCACATGAACAGTGTATGTCATCACTAGACTTCAATCTTGTTTGCAAGACTAGATATTCATAGGCTTGCCAAACTGGGTGTACAGCCCAGGAAACCTAACCAGGTCTTGACAACTCTGTTAACTCTGAGACACAGCTTAAGCAAAGAACTAGGACTCTTAGTAGCAAAGGCAATTATATGCTATGGAATAAGAAATATAATGTGTTGGAACATGAGAGAGATTTAGAAACAAGGGAAAACTTTAAAAATCGTTTTGTTGTTCTTAGCATAATACTGAAGATACTTAAAGAGCTGCCTAGAGTTTCTAGACAGATGCAAGTCAGCTGACTGGTTTACTCTCTTGCTTTCTGTAGCTCTGCTCCTTAAAACCTGAAAAGCCTTTTTAGAAATATATTTTCCTGTTTGAGCACATTCTGAAGATATAAACTGATTAACGCATGTGAAATGACTTTTTTAGGATCAAGGGATCACATTAACGTTGCATACAGTAACAACTTCCAAGAAGATACACTACACATCATTGGAATCTCAGAGAATTAAAATTCAGTTGTCAAAATATCTGATAACGCTCTTAAAAAACTATGGCTCTGGCATATAGAGATGATCATGATTAGTCTTCTGTAGTCCTAAGATAGCTTGCACACATCGGATGCATTCAGATCCAATGATGTCTCCCTGGACTTTACACACCTCCCCTGTCAACAATTTCACCTATCTTAGCAGTAATTATATCAGTCCTTTAAAAGAAAGGGCAATTATTTTTGTCTGGGATTCTACAGACAATCCTCATTTATAAATGCCTGAAGATTGCATTCAGTAGACAGCTATTTACAACACTGCTACACGTCTGGAAATCATCTGCACTAATTTCATGATGCCAGAAAAAACATCTGCAAATAAAAAAATAAAAAAAAACACACAAAGAACAACAAAAGAAAATAAAAAATCCACCAACATACTAACTTGTTCTCAAAATAAATGGATAATTAAAATGAGACCAATAAATACAACTCACAAATTTGCTCATAAGGTTAGAAGCTGCTCTTAGATGCCCTGAAAGAAACTGTGCTGGTTATCACAGCAGGAAACTGTAGCATCCTGAAGAATTTACAACCAAAACAAGTGAAAAAAATAAAAGTATTATTTCAATTTTAAAAATGACAAACCAGGAACTCTTTTTTTTTTTTTTTCTCTTTTTTTTAAGATTTAAATGGTATATATTACAAAGCTGAGTACAGTAACAATCCTTAGCTAAGATTAATGCAATTTTTTGGATTCCTTTTGTCCTAAGCATCTGATCTCAAAAGTCTTAATAAAATTCAGAATGCACAAAGAATACAGAGAGTTAACTCTCTCCAACTAATAAAGCTCTTCATCTTGCCCGTGCAAAGCCAAGACAATTACTTAATACCTCATAAATTGGCTTTACATGGCCTTTGCTGATACAACAATTTTTTCCTCTTCACCTTCCAATATTTGAACAACTTATGAGACTTTGCTGGAACCTAACCTGAGGCAATAACCCTACAAAACTCTTCAGAAAATCACCAGCTACCCAAGAGTTCATAAGTTCTTCAGAACAACAAGAATAACGTGAAAAGACTTGCCCTGTTTTTTAAAATACACAAAACTTTTCTGACTAAACACACAACAATTATGTAAAAAATATTTTCTTTCTGGACAAATTTCACATAAATAACTTAACAGGTGAGGCTACATCAACTTTCTTTTCTGCCATAATGAAAGCTCTGCTCAAGAAGAACCAAAAAATAGCAAACGTTTTTATACACGCAACATGAATCAGGCCAATCGTGAAAAAGCCTATGTCAAAAGAATAAGGGGGGGCGGGAGGGAAGCTGAGAAAGCAGAAATTTTAACTATCAAAGCACCTTTTTAGGGACATGCTATTACCATAGGATCTTGGAGTAATAAAAGTTTAAGTAGTACTGAGGTAGCAACTTAACATAGTATTTCAAATGGGAACTAACCAGGCTTGAGAAAGAGAGAGGAAACAAAAAACAAAACAAAACAAAACAAACAACAACAACAACAAAACCCCCACCAAACCAAAACAAACCAACAAACAAAAAAAAAAGAAATCAGGGAACGAAGAGGAACTCAAAATGCTCCAATTGAAAGATTTTTAAATCCTAAACAAATTCTAGGCTCAAGAGCATCATGTCCTACACAAGAAAAATAAAAATCCACTTCTTCAAGAAACAGTACACTCTTCATACTACAGCTAGGCAAAGGGAAAAAATTATCATCATTTCCCGACTATGAGGAGAAAGAGACTATAATTGATTCTCTACACTTGAAGTTAGAGGGAGAACTGCCACACTTGGTCCTACTCATCTATCCTGACATTCAAGTACACCTACTAAATAAAAAAAAAAAAAAAAGTGAAGATTGAATTTACTGAGTAGAGCCACATCCACATTCTTCACATGGAAATTTATGGTAGTAAATGAGTATTTTAGTCCTGCTGACAGTGACTAGTTTATTGCCAAGTGACCTAAATGAACCATGCAGACTTGTCAGCCACTCTCATGTACTGTAATAACTTTACAGGGCACCAAGAATGAGCATAGCATTTCATAACTCTGTATTTTCTTCGACTATGTTTTGGCAAGAAGTTTCAGTTACTGACTTGCATGTATTTGAAACAGGAACTTGAATATGAAAAGATCCAAAATCTCTTTTTAAAATCTGTAAGATATACTGTTTCATCTAAAATATATTTTTTGTTGAAAACTAGAAGTAAAAGCAGAATATTTAAATGCTTAAGAATTCCAGAGAAAGGCACCTGAAGTTGACAAGAAGAGGGAAGAGTAGCTCATGGGAGAAATAACCAAATTCAAAGTCAAGAGAAATATAAATAGTACTAATAGAACTAAGAGGAATGACAAGAAGGAAGAAGTGAATAATACCTCATTTGCTGAGGTTAAAGAAGATAAAAAGACTTAGAAAAAGCATTTGGCAGATTAGTAAGAATTAGTTGAAAATGAAAATGTGCGCTAAATAATTGAATTCTTCTAGATTTGTGTCAGGTAACAACATAAAAGACATGATTTATTACCTTTCTTTCGAAAGAGTGCATTTAGATAATTTTCTGCTTGGCATTCAATCTTATCAGTGTTGGACTGGCCCTGAGATGACAGTTCCTCCGTAGGCGTCGACTGTGAAGAACCGATAACTGATGCACGATCCTGGAAGACATGAAGATTATCATCTATTTCAGAAGTTATTGTAGTGATAGTGCAATTACTGAGACATTGAGCGAGAAAGACCCCCTAAAAAGGTATTACTATAAAACCAAAATACTTCTCATAACCAAACTAACTCGAGTCGAGTTATTGCAACCTATTTGCAAAATGCAGTTCTCTAATTCTTACTTTCATAACACAAACTAGGTGATGTTTGAGTCATGTTTGATATCATGTTCATACTTACACTGACTGTTTCTTTGTGTAAATTACAAAAGGAACATTTCTCATCCATAGACCAGTCAGTTAGCTCTTCTGGCTCACAGTCTTAAAAAAAGAACAAAAAAACTAAATGTTTTTAAAAAGCAAAAATAGATTTTGAAAACAAAATATACATCCTATAATTCTCTCAACTAAATTAAAATGTAATCTGACATGCATTTATTGATACACCATGAAATTCTTCAGGTATTTCCAACTTCTGTTTTGTTTCATATGGTCCTTTCTTTCAAACAGCAGAAGGCATCTGTCTTGGAATGAAAGTAAACCCATATCTTTTGACTGATTAGAATCAGACTGGATGCAGTTTCTTCATCTGCAGTTTCTATATATAGGTATCTCTCTGAATCCAGTCATTACTGCTTTTAACAAAGCAATAAGTTTGCAAGTTTAAGAGCAAGTTAAGATAGAATTAGGATAGTCTCTTTCTGTGTTTCTGGGTATGTGCTGTGTTTTACTTAAGGTATTTTAATTTATTTTGTACTAACACTAGAAATAAGTACGCCCTTATATTTACTTGTAACACTTGATTAATTCAGGTAACTTTAAATTACATTATATGCTGCATCCAATGGCAGATTTTAATCCAGGCAGAACACAGGACTTAAAGACAGCGCCCAAACCAAGTCCAGTCTCCTCCTACTGAAAGGAGGCACATGATACTAGTGAAAGGAAGCACATAATACATTTTATTAAAGTTATGAAGTTCCCTAAATAAATAAATGGGGAGGGAGGGAGGAAGGGTTTCTACCATGTACTCCAGTCTTCCCAAACCAACAATCACCATAAAACTGTTCCTAAACTAACTCTGCTAATTGTTAAAACTCATCTTCTAATTTCTTGGTCCACATGTTTTCTCTCTCCTGTGAGATTCAATCCCCCCGTCTTCATCTTCTCTGCATTTTTCCCATTGGAACTCCTGTTTTGTCAACACAGCTGACTAGGTCTCAAGATTATGACCAAATTTAATTTAATAGCCCCAGATAACTGCAGCATGCTTTAATTCAAGAACAAGTTATGAGGTCGCATCCTGAGAGAATGAGCTCTGCCATGTTAATAGTAATACATGTTTTTAACCTAAAACTGCCACCACAGCACATGGAGGTGGGGTAACTCACCAAACTCTGAATAATCCAAATCTTCTCATACATGTTTCTTTCCAAATTCACATTACTCTAGATATTCATAGATGACAGTCAATTAGTTTTTATGAACCCCTCTGCCTCAAACAGAGGCTAGTTAAGCTGCCCACCTTGTTTAGGTGTGCTAGAATGTATGTGACCTATTACACCATTTTGATGCCTTCCAGGCTGAACTTCCTAAGGGAAGAATATGTATATCATAAATCTTTCATAAAAGATGAATTCTCTCCTATAGGAGGGAAGCAATTACACAAAAATATCTTCTGCAATTTCAAAAAAGGAAGCATTTAAGGGAATGTTATTTAGTCACATCAGTATCCATGCCAGCAGCACTTAATAAGGTCACAGACTTCCATATACAAAGTACAAAGACAAAATCTACCACAACACAAATGAAGTTACAAATGCCCAAACAGGCACGTTGACAAGAAGAATCAAGACAATAAAGCAAAACTCCACCTAAGTTCGCATTCCACGTTAAATAAAATGAAAAAAGTTCCTAAGCTAAATAGGAACCTAACCCCAGACTAGTTTACTCAGCTCTAAAAATATTAATTTAAATCAGAATTCTCTACTAACAATCCCAGAGAGGAAAATTGAAGGCTTTGACAGGTTGGACAGTTGATGATCAAGAAAAACATTGTACAGTCAAGAAAACCTAGTGTCTAAGAACAATAATGAATTATTTTTATCGAATTAATCTAAGCTGTCCCTAACTGTCAGAGCTATTGTTCAAGGATGTCTGCAAAAAGCCCCATACCACACTCTTTCCTAATGAGTTCATGTTTAAATGGTTTTCTTTGCAACCACAACAAATCCATTTACGAATGTTGGGATTCTGAGCATAACTCCAAGACTTTAGGCTTTGACAGAAATTCTTTTGCCTTCAAATTCTGAAGCACACTCATTTCTATTATTAAGAACCTAAATGAAGAGCAATCCTTCTGTGTCACCATACAAGCAAGACTTGAGAAATGTCAGTTCTGTGTGGAAATAAATTTATTCAAAGAAATAACATACACCATGATAATGTATTAAGAATTCCAGGGGGTTAAGCAAGATTGACAGAATAAAAATGCAAAATACAAAGGTTAGGAATCATATCCAAATAATATTTGGAAAGGGGGGAAGGGAGAGAAAAGAATAATTGCTGTAACCCGTAAAAAGAGCAGTTATATCACTCCTCCAGTTGTTGTGGTAATACTTTGATTGAAAGAGAAAGCCTAAATACTGTCAGAGCCTCTCTCTTTTCTAGCAGTTAAGATACTACAGGGAAAAGGTTACACTAAAAACAAAAGGCAACCAAGGAAAGGCTTATCCCTTTGCCCTAACAGGATTATTTCAATTTCCCCCCCTCAAACACAGCACACATCTTCCTTCACATCTGCAGAGCTCCAGCAGCAGTGCAGGAGAGTCAAATAAGCCTGTGTGCGCTAGTGTGGCTTCTGGCTCACTGACACAAAAAAAGAAAGAACAAACTACCCACGTTTGCCTCTGTATGCACTCCTGAGCTAGTTTTACATCAGCTTTAGACCTAGATTAACTGCAAAGGACTTTAGGTGCAATAAACCCCTTTTTGAAAGAATACCCTCAGAAAATCTTCCCCCTCATTTCAAATCAGTGTTCATCCAAGGAGAAAAGCAAAATCCAACCGGATAACTGCCAGGATTATTGTTTGATATATCAGATATATCAAACTACAAGCATACAACAGTCTCGGGTCAGCATCACAGGAAACACACGGCAGAGGCCACCATATCAGTCCTACTGCAGACTGACAACCACTCTGCAAATGACCTGGGAGCAGAGATGACTCCTTAAGGAGAACATCCTTTCTGTTGGTTGCATTCAATTTAGGAGCACAGGGATCCTCTCCCCCTGCTTTTTTACACTTAAAATCCTCGAAGAATATTTGGTCCATGAGAAGAAGTTATAACAGACTGTACAATGAACATTTACTATTAAGCATGGTTTGGATCACTTGAAACCACTGTCTTTATATTTAAATCTGTTAAAGCCACTTTTATTTTTAAAAATGGAAATAAATTTTGACAAGATTGCTATTCTGTTGTCATTTCCTCAGCCATTCAATCCTTTGTTTCCCCAGCCCATTTTTCTCCAAGCAGTCACATTGCACTACACAAACTGAGACAGCCATAGGACTGAAGAGCTTTCATATTTACCTTTTAAAATGTGAAATGGTTGTCTAATAAATATAAAAACCTAAAAAATCCTACCTTTGCTTTCCAACACTTCCTACATTATTACAAAATTAGCTCCTCAAAAATTCCTGTCCATTGTCAAAATTTCAAACAAAGCATCTTCTTCTTTTTATATAGCACTACTGATACCTAATAAGCACAATAAAATTCCTGAGGCGTTTATTACTTTCTTTAATCCTTTTACTTTCATAAAAACTTGAACAATATTAAAGACATGCTCTTAATATAAATTTTCACCCCATTACCTTATATATTATTGCTATTAATAATAAAAAAAATCAGTCCTGCCCTCAAAATAAGCCTTTTATCCTAGCTAAAGAATTAGTATTTTTCCTGCTAGAGGGAATGTGGTAAAAGATTTCTGCATTTCTCCACACTGCTTTTTTCCCTTCTCTTTTTAAGAGAACCCAGAGTATCTCCTCAACAAACCTCACCCAAAGTGTCAGCACACAACTCCAAAAGAAACATTGCACACATACCAGATGATTAGAGAAAAAGCTTTCTGACAATTTAGCTAACTGTCCGGAAGTAGAATGTAAATAACAACAGTTTACAAGTGTATCTGCTTAGCTGAAAATGGGTATAAAGAAAGAATGGGATGAGAAGCCTCGAGCCAGCTGAGAGCATGATCAAGGATCATGCCAGGATGTAGAACTTGACACCATTGCAACCAGAAGCTACACAGACAAAACAGCCAGGGAGAAACCAATACTGAATAATGCAGATGAGAATGAAAAAAATGGTGCTGTCTTCAGGTAACTAGGAACTGTCATAGCTGGCTGAGTTCCTGATGAAATTCATTTACCTTCTCAGTAAAATTGGCTTTACATTTTTTTTTCCTAAAGAAAAACAAACAACAAAACCCAACCTAGTAAAACTGAAGCATTCCTTTCATCATTCAGATTTGTCATTCTACTTTATTTTCTCTCAAATGTCATTAAATACAATCATTTCATTTATAGATCAAACTATTGCAAGACAGAATCAAAGAGGAAACAGCAACTAATACTCAGACACGTTAAATTTCCTGCCGAGTAATTTTTTTTTTTTTTTTGGCTATATTATGAACAACAAATAAGATTAGCAATATAATAGCAGAATGCTAGTGCAACTAAGGGGCAGATATTTCAGCCAATTTCCCATTCTTGCAGTGCTGCATAACAAAAATATACAATTTGTCATGGCTTTATTTAATGAAACAGATATCCTTGCTTGTGAGGCATAACACTGCATATTGATAATATCGGTTCAGTGGTTATGATAAGCAAGACTGAGACCTTACCAGCTGCACTGATTTGGGCATGATGCTAAGAGTCTGTATTTCTAGTTCAGATTCTACCAACCGTACATTTTGCTAACTGAGGCACATCATTTACTTTGTCTCTTAGCTTGACCATCTGTAAAACTGAAAAATGGCACTTAAATTACATTGGGAAGATTCATTACCCATTTTACTTTGCAGTTTTGTACAACCCTTTATAACGCACTTCAGAATCCACCCAGAAATAGTCTTATACTATCAGTACTATCTATCAATCTCTTTCAAATCCTTTCTCTGAATATTCTATTTACAAACATGAATCAAAAGCAGTAATGTAAGGAGGACATCCCAACCTAACACTCTTTCTCTTTTCTCAAGTTGCTCCAGAAGCAAAATGAATGTAACAGATGTGTCAAACATATGGGCACAAGCTTCAGCTGTTCAGAAAATCAGGCACATTACTGGCATTCTTGCAAACGAGAGAAAAAACATAGTTTTAACACTTTACATTTTAGATTAACAGACATTTTTATTTGCCAGATAAAAAGTCAATAATGCAGTCCAAAATTGCTTGGACAGTAAATACTAGAAAAAATGTAGATGATAAATCTTAAATAGAAGGTCACAAAAATTCTCAATAACATGTGCTTATAAATAAACTCAGCTTCTCCCAGAAGACCATGCTAATACATACATGCAAGAACTACAAAGCAGCAATATAACACAGCATTGTCGACTATGAAGCTTAAACTGTAACATTTGTTTTGGGGTCAGTAGTTAAATAATATTCGTAACTTCCAAATTGCTTTCAGTCTTATTATACAAAAGACAGAAAATGCCTTTAATTTTTTTCAATACCTTTTGATAAAAATACACACACACATACACACACACACACACTTATACTTTAATCAGTAATTGATTTAAAGCCTGACAATTTGCAACCCACTGGAATTTCTAACTGGAAGAAAAAGATACTACATACACAAGGTTAAGAAAGTCCCATTCCCTTTCCAAAGCAAAACCAGGCTCGTTTCAATCACAGCAGATGGAAGTACGATTCATGAAAATAAACTTTAGCCCAAATTTACACATCTCTTTGCTGCTTTAAAAGTCTCTATTGGCATGCTTAGCTTTGTATCTGGCAGAAATATCTTCTTAAAATATCAGTAAAATGGCATTTCAAAATTCCCTTTTCCCTTGAAAACATTGTGTTAAGTATTCAATATAGGCCAACGAACTTGCATAATCTGAAGACGACCAAACCAAAATCAAGTTAAAGAAACTATTCCAAAGTTATTCCAAGCAAACGTATTCTTTATATGCTGCTGTTCATGGACTGGCAGCAAACAAATTACAAGCTCTATGAACTATATGATCAAAAAATAAATAATGAAGAAATGAAAAAGTAGGCAAAGCAACACACTGATAGCAGAAGAAATTTTTTCATAACCATGGAAAGGAACATGCCACTGTGCCTCCTTTTAACACCTCAAGGCTTTCTTTCGTGTGTGTGTGTGTGTGTGTGTATGTTAATGGCTGGTAAGTCATTTCATGCTTATTTTAATTAACTAAAAACTCAGGTGTTATTAACCGTTATTTCGGCGTAGCCTACAAGATATGGGATAAGGATAGGTGTACATGGGTGGCAGAAAATGCAACAAGAAAATACTTATTTTCTAGGCAACTACAAAAACAAACTAGCACGCATAATTTTCCTTTTAATATTGATAACAAACTGAACTTCTTGTCCTCCCTTTCTAAGAGTTGCCAGGAAAAAATGTTACTAGGGGATGAAATACTGCAGAAAAGTAAATCTTTCTCAGGCAGCTACTCAGGCATGCTTAGTTAATTCAACATTTCCTTGCAAGAGAATAAGACCTAGTTACAATTTTACCTTGTTTTGCATATGCATGGTACAGACAAGAACAATACACAGTCATATATGAAAAACAGCTAAGAAAGAAAACAAGAGAAGATTTCTTTTTCAGAATTCAGTATATGCTTTAAACTACCTAGTAAAATAAAGCTCACTGCACTAAATGCTGGCTCATTTACCTTCAAATAAGCTGAGGTCTCTTCGTAGCCTTGGTCCATAAAGCCCTTCTAAAATACTTTCAAAACCTGTAAACAAAAGAAACATTTAAAATAGTAAAACAAAAGTTTCTTAAAAGAAAGCAAATTAGAGAACATTATCAACAAATATTTTGGAATTCTGCAGTGGTTTAAGAAATTGTTGCATTTATCACACAAATATTTATTCCTTCTTCTAAAGTACCATTCAACAGAATCAGAAGATAAACATGAGACAGGGCAATTACCATCTGCACAGAATCAGCCTATTAAGCCATGCCCCAACAACCTCATTAGACTTAAAATAACTGCCACAGAATCTTAAAGGTGGGAGGATTAACCTCATAGCTTTACTCAAGTGAAGTAGCCTTTCCTACATTGAGAAGCAGAACCATACATGACAAAATAAGAAACAAAGCAAACCAAATCAGAAATACCGAATTTTAGATCACCATCATAATCTGAGTACTCCAATAATTCCTTAAATGTAAAAAACGAAGGTTTTTTCTGCTCTTTATGTCATAACAGCTTTATTTCTAGTCCTGCATAACTGTACAAAAACGTTTTAAAATTGGGGATTAGATAAATCCAATTATTTTCCAGATTTACCAGCTAGTCTGTGTTAGATCCTTGGGAAAATCAATGCAGTCAGGAAGAAGACAAAGCAAAACAACAGAAAAATAAAACAGAAGCAGAGATCCAGGATATTTGATGAAATGCAGCGAGAATTTATAACATCCTCAGTATAATAAAAATGAAGTTTAGTTCAGCAAAGAAACATTTTCCAACTGTCCTTCCTTTTCTCCTATAGACTTCCAAATAATAAGCCTATTTTCAACTAAGAGGATAATTCAAAGCAGTATTTGGATGTTCTCATTCTTTATACTCAAGACCTGTCCATATTAAAGATGTAGCTGTTTTACAGTACTTTGTGAGACCACTTTATCATTCTACTATTTAAAACAGACAGATGTTTTCAGGAAACAATTACCCTCAGTAGAGTTGCCCTTAGAATTACAAATTTCTTTATAACTGCAATGCCCTCTGACAACAAAATATACCGCTGTTGAATCACAAAATAAATAAATTTATTTGGTTTGATTTTGATTATACATTAGTATGAGGAAGAATAAATACCTACCACACCTTAATTAGCATCTTAAATAACATTAGAATCCTAAAGCAGATAAAAGAAGTTATTTTAAGACAGAAGAGCTGTTTAGCTTGATTAGTCACACTGCCTTAAAAATTTGCCTTTCAATTTTACATACAAAATGAATATATAAAAATTGTTAATTACATGTATTTAGACAATCACATTCAATTTATAATTTTAATTACTATAAATTTACAATTTGTACTATAAATATATACACACTGATACTTAATTTTTGCCTTTTCTTTGTATTAAATGCAGCATCAGGAACGTATTACTTGACAGAATTACCATCCCCTCTCAGCTTTAAAATAAAAAACAACCTACCAAAATCAGAAAGCAAAAACCCAAGACCCAAGCACACACTGAAAGTTATCTTAAAGCATTATCTACTGATGCTAAATTGAATGTAATATATGTTCACAGATTAGCAATAAGTATAATTAACAATAGTGAGCAGCTAGCCAATAGTTAGGTACTTGCAAGTTGTTATCACTATCTAAAAACACCATTGGTTTGAAGCATCTCTTGGAGACAGCTTACTCCAAAAGAACATATAACAATTGTCACTACTCCACACTTTGCAAAATAAACAGAGAATTTGTTTAAAATTCCAATCAGCACCCTCTAAAACTGACAGCTATTTACTGTTTTTTTTCTTCTTCTTTTTTTTCCCCCTCCCTTACTTTATTTCTCCCTGGACCAGGGGATGGGAGAAGGTTCATCACTTCTCCCTTTGTCCCACTCATGTATCTGCTCTTTATTCCTGCATGTGCAGGGGGGTTGGACTAGATGACCTCTGAGGTCCCTTCCAACCTTTAGCATTCTATGATTCTATGATTCCATCTCTGCAAACACCAGTGCACAAAATCCACCTCTGTGAACTCTTCCTTTGTCCCATCCATCCAATGTGAAAAACACTCTTATAAATTCTCCCAGAAATTCTCTCTAGTGTTACAATTTTTACAATTTAGACTTGTTCAAGATGAATATTTGCCTTTTTTTTTTTTTGTCCTTGAATAGGATCCTAGATCCTTTCTTTCAAAAATTGACTCATAAGATTTCACAACACAAAGCCCTTTTTTTCCAGTGCTTACTTTAAAGTCTTCCCAGCAAAACTGCACTGTACAGTTTTCTACAAGATCCAAGTTCCTCTGCTCCTTTTCAGTGGAATACATGACATTTTTAGTTTGCTCTGAACAGGAAGAATGCATTTTAGTTTCTAATAGAGCTAAAGATGAATATTGGCTTTATTTCATAAAGCGCAATCATCTGAACACAGGGATAAAAAATAAATAAAAATTCATGGGACAGTACATGTAAGAAAATAGTAGGTGGTTTTGGAACTGTTCCAAATCTGGCAAGCCCTCAAACCCAATCAGAATACAGAGGTTCTTCGCTTACCGCTCTGTGATTTACCAAACAATCAAGAAAACCTGCTGAGTTCCTTTGCCAAAACTTTTCACATCAGACTCAGCTCCTGATCACCTGCTGGATTCCTAGCTGGCTTTCAAAACTAACATTAGGATTACTTCCCTCTCCAGCCAGGCATGATGTGGCTACAAACTCAAAAGAAAGTTTGTTCTATTGTTTTTTGTTTGGTTATTGTATAAATGTCACTTTAATCCCTTCGGCCTCTACTAAAATTCTTCTCTTTCTTGTTTTACTTCTTGTATCTTCATGTAACAACTTTATCAGCTCTGACACTTTCCTGACACCCTTTTGATTTAAGTTAACTGCTACTTAGAGTCTTGCAACTCTCTTCACAAGGAATGTGTCAATGTCTATAACTGATCTCATGAGAATTACCAAGGTGTAGTGAGATAGTTGGTACAACTGTAATATTGCAATGGATGGATGATGGATACAATGGATACAGGTTCTTTAGAAAAAAAAAGAAAACAAAGGGAATGCAGTGTGGGAACAAAAATGGAGAAGAGCATGAAGGAAGAACTGATCAGGGACATGTGAGCTGAGAGCAGTATTGCTAGCAAAATGACAGGTGGTAGAGACCCTGTGAAAAGCAAGGAAGGGAAGTCAGCATTTGTGCTTCAGGAGAGCAGACTTCAGTCGTTTAGGAAATTAGTAGCTTGGCTGGGGAGCAACAGAGAAAGTAAGGCAGCATCTGGGGCTGAGAAGAGCTGACTTGTCACCAGAAACAGTCACCTCGGAGCAAAACAGTACACTGTTTTGCAAAAGGCAAGTCAGCCTGCCTGAACAGCCAACTTGGACTCCATAAGGAGCTGTAGAAAGGCAGGAATAGAAACATCACCTGGATACTCAGGAATAGAAACTAGGAAAGTCAAGGATCAGCTGGAATTGAAACCGATAAGCAACACAGAGAGTAAAGAGACAGGCTTCTGGATGTAGAGCAGAAGCAAAAAGACAACTAAGCAGTGTCCCACTGTTGAATGAAGTACGGACATGTAAAAGAGGAAACAACAAACATTGAAGTACTTTGTGCTTTCTTTTCCAATGATTTATACTGGCAAAGATCTGCTCAGCCTTCCATGGCCCTGTAAACAGTGGCAAACTGCAGGACATGAAGCACTACCCATGCTGGAAGAAAGTCAAGGTAGGGACCACTGGAGCAAACTCTATGCAGAAGTCCATGGAGCAAGCTAGGATGGCACACGAGGCTATCAGCTAATATCAGTGTAAAGCTATTAATATATCACCTTTAAATAGCTGTCAGAATAGGGAAAAATGTCCCATGGGTTAAAAAACTCAAATATCTCGTGTTGCTTCTGTGTGTGGCTGACTCATCAGTGCAATCTTTTGCCTAACTGATTCAGGAAGACAAAAAGGCCGGGGGGGGCGGGGGCGAGAAGCAGTATTAAGAGTAGATAGTCCTATGTTACACAAAAGACACTGCCCCATCTTATCCCTGAGCTAATAACTAGTCTAAGCTTACTCATGAGCACAACCAGCTGCAAAACCCACTGTTCATGTAGCCTTATTTAAAAAAGAGGGAAGGGGAAATCACAGCTTGGGGTAAAATTCCACTATTACTACTACTGCTAGAAAAAAAAACATTATTAGTACCTGTGTGGAACATGTGCTAGGCTGCTGGTACATCTATTAGTCAGCAGTTATGTTCAACCAACTGTCCTCACAGTTGCTGCTGACCCCGATTAGCGGGTGCTGATTTTGGCCCCCAACTTTATTTTGGTTATTGCTAATCTCCTAACACGGGGTAGGGAAAAAAGGTGTAATAAAGCTAGGAGGACTGTTTTACTATCTTGTACCTGAGACAGGGTCCATGACAAGGTTTGTTTGGGCTAGGACTAGCTCTTTACTGAAGGATTCAGCAATAGTCATTCTCTGAGTTAGTTCCAACATGTTACTTGATGTAGTGTTTAAGATTTAAAAAGATAATCTAATGAGAAACTAGCTTTCAAGTGCTCAGAGCTATACAATCTATTTCAGCTTCCTCTAACAGTTATTCAGCTGTTGTGTCAGCTACCAAGTGCTTTGCTACATCTTAAAAGCCTACCCCTGACAGGGAATGTATAAGAAGTATGAAGGGTTGTAAAATCCCTTGTTACAACAGACAGAATAACACTTGAACTGATGCATTTGTGCAAGTTTCCCAGGTGGTGCATGTTATACAGCCTTTTCCTGAGCTATTCAAGGAACAAAGACTCTCCCTCCCTGCAAAACCAACTTGCAATCACCTGTTCTTTACATAGTGTGGCTATTATTGTGAACGCCACTCCTCCCACCAAATACTCCCAGGCCATATATGTCTCACAGAGTTATCCACCTGTCCAAATCCCCCCCAATCCAAAAAGTGCTTTGTGCCAAGTCTAGACAAAAATACACACAATTGTAGGCTTAGTATTTTTAATACAATGATTGACCTAGGTTAACTTTGAAACACAGTAATTAAACA